GCGCTGTCCTCATCATATCCACGACATTTTCTCCCGTATTTTGGGTGTCGGTCGAGGATATGATCAGAGTGTGGTTGGGCTTGTTAAATTTGGGCTTTGCGGCGGCTTGCGCGTATGTTTTGGGGGTTGATAAGTTGGGCTTTTGTTTTATTACAGGATGTTGGCCACCGATTGCCATTGCCAGTTCATCTCCTAAAGAGAGAACCGGCGATTCCGGCTGCTGTTTGCGTCTATCCCCCCTCATTTGCCGCAACTCAGAGGACACCACCTCGAGCGTGTCGCATATCGGACGTAGTTGGTCAGTGAGGTCCAGATTGACTGACGTTGGGGTTGGAACACTTCTCTCCAGCTCTATTTTTTCTAAGTTCGACACCAACCCGGAGAGTGTGTCCCTCATGTTGTCCATTCCTTCTTCTAATTTCTTTGCAGTTCCACTACTCATTTCCGTCGTCGAAGACTTGGCATTTATGTTATTTCCTATTTGCGAACCTTCTTCTTTGATGTCTCTCTTGGTGTTTTCTATCAACCGGCGGACTTCATCCATCTGCTTTGATAGTGCAGCAGTAGCGTCATTGAGTTTCTCTAGAGCTTTACGCTCCCATGACGACATTGTTGAATCTGCCGGTTTCGCTAGAGAGCTCTGTAGTATTTTTTCTAGAGTGGTACCCTGTTCTTTTATTATTGTTTTAATGTGTTTTATGCCGTCGTACGGCTCTGCTGTCTCAAAGGATAGCCACTTTTGCGTATCTTCAGTAATCCGGCAGACCCGCGATATATCGCCCCTTGCCAGAGAAATCTCCTCCATCATCCGCTTATTTAGCTCCGCAATTTCCCTAGCATGTGCCCTCTCGACTCTTACCAGTGCCACTGCGTTTCTGCTTCTCTCCCGCTCGAGATTGAGCTTGTGTCTCGAGCGGGAGTCGGACAATGAAAGAACCGTCTCATAAAGTGCTTGGAGGCATTCCAGAGCGACGAGCTTGTTTTCTCGTTTCATGTTAACCGCCATTTCCAGCGCCTCCTTCCCTTTAAGCAGCAGGTCATTAGCCTGCCGGTTTGCCATATCCAGCTCTACACCTTTCACCCTATTTGTCAGCATAAGTATACTTTTCCGCCGGTCGCTTGCCCCGGAAAAGATTTACTCAGCCTCCGACATATCAGAGGCCGGCTCATCCTCCTCCGAGTTGATTGCTCTTGGTGGAATTTCTGACCGCTCCCATGCCGCTACCTTCTCCATAAGGTCTGTCTCACTTTCGGCTTGCGAGTCCTCGCTGATTGATGTTCTTACTATTTTAGATTGTGTTAGAACAGATTTTATTAATTTTTTGCTAGTTGTAGGGGCCGATTTTATCGACGCACCGGCTGCGCTTTTAGTATTCCTCACCTTAATTTGGCGAGGTTTGTTTTCTGGTTTTGGGAACTGTGTTGCTTCGGTGGACTCCTTGGATGGAATTTCCGCCTTATTCTCCGACATCATGATTAATACAGAAGCTTATATTACCAAAAATTATTGATTTTAATCGAAATATTAGGTGACCTATTTCCGGTTTTTTGATGATCTATTCTTTTGCCTTTTCTCTTTCTTGGTACAGGAAGATCTGATATTTGGTCACTATCACCCTAGTCCAAACCGCGCCCCGATCCGAATACTGAGGTAGGGGTTATCGATGTTTTAATGTTATAAATTGTTTATATGACAGTACAAAGGTCACTTAGACGCGATCTCTAGTTCCAGAATTGACCCCTCTCCCCTTCGTTCCCGGGACACGGAATTTGGACTCAGTTGATGTTTTACTTAAAAAAAAAAGAAGAAAGAAAAAGGAGTTATTCCAACGAGAACGAAACTTTACTCTTCATTCTATAATTCGGGAACGGCCTGACCTATATTTAATCTTCTTTCCCTTTCCAGACCAAATTATAGTATCAATCGCTGTGCTTCCAGTGATCTCCTCTTTGTCCTCGCGAACTGTGAACTTCTGGGTTTTCTGGCTGTGTTCCAGGTTTTTACGTTTAATTATATATCTCCTGATTTAGTTGGTATTTTTTAAATCTAAAAGTGCCAATATTCTTAGAGTGAGGTGGACTTACTTGGCGTTCTCCCCGTTGAGCTCTCCTTCTGCTATATCTCTGACCTCGTGGCCACGTGGTTTTCGGTTTTTTGCTTATAACTCGGTAAATTTCGGGATAAATTTATCCCGAAAATTTTTCAGATGATGGGCCTTATCTAAACACACATTTTGGCTGAGTTACTTATGTTGGTCGCAGATCTCCCCAGGGAGAAATTACACTTTTTCCCACCAACACTGTACTGCACTTTTAGGTTATGATCGAATTTTAATGATAGATTGATGACACCACACGCGATCCAACTTTTGATGATACCCTTGCGTAGAGGGCATTAAAACGCACCGTTTGGTGTTTTCAGCACGTTTCTAGCTCTTCAAGGTCCAAAGTTATTGATTTTTGACCGTGGAGCTGCTCAAAAATGATGTTTAATGGGCCGCGCGCGGGACGGGTTGATCCTTTTGTGGTTAGGGCGACCTATTTCGCCCTACTCCATTGTGGAGGCGTGTGGGTACACGCGTACACCTCCGGGGCCTTTGGATTGGGGGACTGCCTCCCTCAAGGCAGTCACCCCGGCCCCAGTGGGGGATACCCTAACCTTATCTTTTTTTTTTTTTTTTTTAACGTGTGAAAAATCTTCAAAAGACCGTCACCGGGCGTGGCGGTGTGTGAGATTTGTACTCACCAAAAACCACACGGTGTACCTACGAGCGCCTATGCCGGAGCCAGGGGATTCGCAAGTGCATTTCTACCCCAGCTCCGACGGCGACGGCCCGCCCTGTAGATGTTGTAGGGCAGGCCCCATCTCGTTATGTGGTTAGAGCGACCTATTTCGCCCTACTCCATTCTGGAGGCGTGTGGGTACACGCGCACACCTCCGGGGCCTTTGGATTGGGGGGACTGCCTCCCTCAAGGCAGTCACCCCGGCCCCAGTGGGGGATAGAGGGGGGCGGAGTTGGATACGCCCCCACCTCTAGGCCTGGCTCTTCTGCGGCGGAGGGAAGCGGGACGAGCTGACTCCCGCTCCCTTTCCGCCGCCTCCTTCCGCGAGATAACTTCCTCGCAGAAGGAGCTCACCGCCAGCCACGATCTCTCGCTACTGATCATCCTCCGAACTAAATTCGGCAGCGAGAGATCGTCCCCCACTATTCGTGTGAGGACACGGCGCTCACTCTCGAACGCTGGACATATTTCCAGCGTGTGTTGCGCCGTGTCCTCCACACCTCCGCACTCGTGGCAGCCGGTCGTCGGCTCCTTCCTCGCCACATGACACAGATACCGCCCGAAGCATCCGTGCCCGGACAGTATCTGCGTCATGCGGTACGTCAGTGGCCATCGCCTACTCATCCACCTTTTGAGGATGGGACGGACAGCCTCGACGGTCCTCAGGCCGGCCGATGGACTGGCCAGCCTTTCTCTCCACCTGATCCTGAGGATCCGCCGAAAGTCGGACCTCCGCGCTCCAATCTCGTGGCCAGCGGGTGCCTCCCCATGGAACGTCGCTCCGCGCGCCAGTGATACACTGACGCGTGGAGCTCCGCTACCAAGTCCCACGGAGGAGACCCCGCCAGCAGACCCGCCGCTTCCCCGGATATGGTGCGGTAGCCTCTTATGGCCCGTATGGCCATGACCCTGTGTGGCCTGTTGAGGCAGGCCACATTTTCCCTACCTAGGGCCCCCACCCAGATGGGGGCCCCGTACAGGGCCATGGACCGCACCACGCCGAGGTATAGGCGGCGGGAACCTTCTCCCGGGCCCCTCACATTTGGCAGCAGCCAGCTAAGAGCGCCGGCGGCTGCCATAAGGCGAGGGACCAGGTTCCGGAAGTGAGCGCGGAAGCTCCAACGACTGTCCAGGTCAAGCCCCAAGTATCGAATACAGGGCTTGACCCCCACCCTCTGGCCACTGACGACCAGCTGGGCATCCGGAGGTGGCACACGCCGAGGCCCATGAAAACACAGGACCTCGGTCTTCTCTAGCGCAACCTAGAGCCCAAGCCTTATACGACCGACGACCAGCGCCACGCATGCCGTGGCAAAGCGGGTAGCCTCCAGTAGGTCCCGCCCCCGGGCAGTGACCAAGGTGTCATCCGCGTAACACACGAGGTCAGTGCCCGTTAAAAGGGCGCCCCGCAGGTACCAATCATACCCGATGTTCCACAGGATCGGGCCCAGAACCGACCCCTGTGGAACACCGCGTTGCATGTCCCTCGGCACTACAACGCCGTTCCGCCCCGTGCATAGCACAGACCTGTCTTCGAGATAGGCCCCGATCACGTCCCGAATGTAGGGAGGCGCGCGATGGTACTTCAGCGCCTCCCTAATAGTCGCAAAGGGCAGGGTGTTGAAGGCGTTCTTAATGTCTAGAGAGACCGCCAACAACACCCCACCCTGGGACGCCACCTCTTCCGAGAGGGAGCGCACACGCGACGATCGTTGAGCGCCCCTCTCGGAACCCGAACTGCTTCGGGCTGAGATCGGGACCTACCTGAGACAGGTGTTGGACGAGTCGGGGCGTGTGTCGGGCAACCTCCAAGTATGGGCCTGCCATTGGGAGGCTTCCCCATCCTCGTGGATACGTCCGCGGGGAACGGTGGCCGAGCAATGGTTTGGTTCTGGTACGCCCCGGGCGGGATAGTAGACGTTCCTTCGGGATACTGCTACTATGTCGGCCGATAGTCCGGCGAGTAGGTAGGAGTGTATATAGTGTAGATAGTTAGGTTAAGTTATTTATTTGTAAATAGTTAGGTTTAAGTTGTAAATATGTCTTCTAGTTTAGTCTTCTTCTTTTGTTTTTCTTCGTTTTATATTTTGTTCTTTTTGTTGTTGTTTATCTGTCCTTTCCTGTTCTTTTATCTTTCTTTCGTTTTTGTTTGTTGCTTCGTTTTCCTTTTCTGTTTTTGTATGCGGGACCAAACCCGGGTAAAAAAGGAACAAAAGATGATGGCCGAAAGTAAAAAACTAATACTCCAGGGAGGTACCACCCGTACATCGGGTGGAGAATCCTCCACCGTCGCACCGGGTAAGCCGGGGGCGGTCAGCCCCATGTATCTGGAGGGGGCAACCGAGGCCAGAAGAGGGAGAGGGGTTGAGAGTGGAAGAGAGGCGAAGGTGGTGTTGATGAGGGATGTGGATCTGGACAGGAGGAGCAGGAGTGAGTGTGACGAGGCGGAGTACTATATGGAGCGCTCTGACTCGTCGCTCTCACTATACTCAGATGACGGCGCTGCAGGAGGAAGCGAGCCCAGCACATCACGGGCTTCGCTGCGCAAAAGACGAATGATAGAGGTGGAAATTGACCCGGATTTGATTTTCGAAGAGGAGGTGGAGGTCGTGGAAGTAGTCGCGACCCCAAGGCCTAACCAGAGGCTGCCGAAGGACCCGGACTTTGAGCGGGCTAAGGCCGATTTGGCTGCCGCCACCCTAAGAGAACTGGAGACGCAGGCTACCGCAGTTAAGAAAGCGAGTGCTCCGAAACCGGCGGCGCGCCCTACCACCCGCAGACCCTCAGCTGAGGATGCGCAGCGCGCCGACGTGTTGGTAGCGGACATTCAGGAGGGTGCCCTCAAGGTCCTAGAGGCTATTAAGAAGTCTGGCCACTTGAAGGGCACAATAATTAAAGAGATAAAGGACGCCGTTGCTACCATCCGCGCGGCGTCTGAATCTTTAGAGGGAAGGACTGCGTCAACTGAGTGCGCAGCATTACGAAGAGAGAACTCCCGGTTGTCGCGTGACTTGGCGGACATGCGGGAAATGATGACTGCCATGAGGGAGGAGTCCGCCAAGTACTACGTGGAACTCAGGGAGTTAAAGAAGAAGACCATGGGGCCTGCCGCTCAGGGCATGGAGGAGCTGGCGATGCTCAAGGCGGAGAGGGTGGAATGGGAGCGAGAAATTACCGCGACCCGCAACTCCTATCAAGATCTGATGAAGAGGAGCACGGACGATCGTGTAGCGCTCACCACGCTACAAACCGAACTGGCGGCAACCAAAGCTGCGCTGGCAAAACAGCCACAAAGTGCGGCCATGGACGTGACATCCGGCGCTCAAGGTGTTGAGTCGAGCGAAACGCCACCCATCACCGAGGGCGCCGAGGCGCGAATAGTCCGTCAAATCGGGGACATTTTTAATGCCCGGTTTGAGAGGATAGAAGAGCTTGTGGGCAGGCAGAACAACCCGCCGCCCAAACGGCCCACGGTCGCACCCCGAACACCTGGGGTGGCCAAGAAAGGGGAAAATGCGGCTCCTGTTGCCAGCACCAGTGGGGCGGGCCTGAGCGCTTCTCAGCCGACTCCCACTAACAAGGAGCAGTGGACGACGGTCGTCCGGCGTGGGAAACGTGCGAAGGGCAAGGAGTCGGCCCCAGCCACCCAGGCGCCCACTGGAGGGGCGAGACCAGCCCAAAAGGAGGCCACACAGAAGGCGTCTAACGAGGCCGCCAACAAAAGGAATGCGAGAAGGAGGCAGTTCCGACCTCCGCGATCCTCGGCGATAGTGCTGACGCTACAGCCGGGGGCCGCGGAGGCAGGATCAAGTTACAGCTCGGTGCTCCGAGAGGCGCAACAAAACATCCGGTTGGATGCTCTCGGAATCACCGAGCTGGGCTTTAGACTGGCGGTCACAGGGTCCCGCATACTTGAAGTGCCGGGACCAGTGGAGGAAAGCGGCGGAAAGGCGGATGCCCTCGCCGCCAAGCTGTCGGAGATCCTGCCGGCAGATGTAGTTGCCGTCACCAGGCCGGTCAAGTCCGCGGAGTTCCGTGTCTTGGACCTGGACGACGCCACTGGCACAGCAGACGTAGTGGCAGCCGTAGTGCGTGAGGGAGACTGCGCCGAGGCCTCCGTAAAAACGGGGGAGATCCGGCGCTCTCCCTCAGGGAGTGGCTCCGTCTGGGTCCGAGCCCCGATAGGAGCAGTGAAGCGGCTGGTGGATGCCGGCAAACTGAAGGTGGGGTGGACGATGGCACGGGTGCGGTCCTTGGATCCCCGGCCGATGCGGTGCTACCGCTGCCTGCTCACGGGTCACGTGGGCCAGCGGTGCACCGCCAAGGAGAACCGCGGCGGAGCTTGCTTCCGCTGCGGACAAGACGGCCATAAGGCCGCAACGTGCACCGCCCCTTCGCCGCATTGCCCGTATTGTGCAGCGGCGAAGAGGAAGGCGGACCACAAAATTGGGAGCACCAAAGGGTGCCGTCCGCCCAAACAGGCGGCGAGAGTGGAGGCGATGGAGGCCGAGTCCGGCCCGTCACCTCCCACCACGGGCCTCGCGGCAGCCGATGCGGGGGCGTCGGCTGTCACCTAAGGCGGAATGAGGCCAGGAGTAGGGAAGAGCCCGCGCTGCCGGGGTTTACACCAAGGGGTTTTAGCCGGTAGGAGTCCGGCAGGACCCCCACGCTTCCCCCGGGGCGGGCGGGTCTCCATGACGGATTTCCCCTTGTAAAAAAAAAAAAAAAAAAAAAAAAAAAGGTGTTGGACGAGTCGGCCCGCCAAGATTCTCTCGAAGAGCTTGCCGATCTCGTCCAACAGCACTATGGGGCGGAACGCCGAGGGAACCACCGAACCTGCGGGGTGCTCCGCTTTGCGGAGCAGGACCACTCTACCCGCTTTCCACTGATTGGGAAACCGTCCCGACTCCAGACACGCGTTGAACAAGCGCCGGAGTCGGCCCCCTAGGGTGTTTAGGGCCAAGGCCAGGACGCGGCCGTGGATACCATCCGGACCCGGGGCGACATTCTTGCCCCGGAGTTTATCCACGGCCGCGGCGAACTCCTCCACGGTGATGGCCGGAACCGCAGCAGCGCTGACGCCGCTGGCCTCTCCATCACTGCCACGCGGCATCATCGGAGGAGGTGTAAACTACTCGACTTACCTATTCCTACCTTTAATGGCCAAAGCGGATCCTATTTGAGCTTCGTCGACCAATTTGATAGTATTGTCTGACCTTAGCCCTACTAATAAGTTACAGTACCTTGTCAGGTGAGCCTAAACGTCTACTATTACATTTACGTATTGAAGCAGAGAATTACCCTATCGCTCGTGATTTGTTAAAGCGAAGATATCTCCACTACAGACCTCCTCGACCGTTCTATGCATACCAACCATAGACGGAACTCGTCCCAATAACTAGGCCCTGTATCCCCCCTGCTTTCTCACCACATTTGTCTATTCCCTCCAATTCCCTAGTCCTCCTACCTACCGCCATTATTCATGTCAAATCAGCTTATGGTTATTTTATAGAGGCCCGTGCGTTATGTGATACAGGCGCATAAGGTTGTCTGCTTACCACCGACTTAGCTGTTGAGAGATTGAATGTCCCCTTATCATCAAATTCAGTACCTATTCGCGGTATTGGCAACATTCAATCTGTATATTCCCGAGGGTCTATCTCCCTTACCTTTAAACCAGTTCATAGATCGTATCCTGTGATAACAACCCCTGCAGTGGTTGTTGATGTAATTGCAGGCCCCCATCCTGAGATTGAGTTGCCTAGGCCTGTTGTTAATAGTATTAATCACCTTTCCGTAACGGATCCCTCCTTTTATAAACCAGGGTCTATTGAGGTATTGTTAGGTGCCGACGTGTTCGGTTATCTTATGCAACCTGAAAAATCTTATGCGTGAGTACATAGATCTTCACCATATGTCTCCCATTTCCTATAATCCATCATTACTTGAGCATTATTATATTCCCCATCACGGAGTGTTTAAGGCCGACGACCACTCTAAAATTCGTGTTGTTTTTGATGGAAGTAGTCCAACCTCTAATGGTATTTCATTAAACCAGTGTTTACACACAGGTCCCAAGCTCCAACGAGATATCACTCATATCCTTCTTAATTTCCGTAGACATGCTGTGGTCTTTGTGACAGACATAAAAATGATGTTCCGGATGACCTGGGTGCACCCCAATGATCGTCGGTATCAATTAATCTTGTGGCGTGAATCCCCATCTGCACCTCTTGTTACGTACGAGTTATCTACAAATACTTATGGCCGCTGCTGTTCTGGAAAATGATATTTATGTTGATGACTGCCTAACCGGAGCGAGTTCACTCGGTGAAGCTCAAATATTAAAAACAGAACTTCAGTCCCTAATGTCCTGTGGTGGTTATGAGTTGAGAAAATGGATCAGTAATGAACCCGAATTGCTCAAAGACATACCCCTCGAACATCTACAGGGTCCATATGAATTTCATGACCCAGATAACCCACCAACCATTCCTGTACTTAGTATTCAGTATAATCCGACTGCAGATTCCTTTACATGCAGTTTCTCCTTTAAGCCTCAGAAGTCCCTAACCAAGCGTACAGTTCTCTCCCTCATCGCTCGTATTTATGATCCATGTGGATGGATATCTCCAGTTGTATTTAAAGCCAAAGCGTTTATACAACGTCTATGGATGTCGGGCCTCAACTGGGATGATCCTCTTAACCAATCCCTTTCTGATGAGTAGTTATTATTTGTACAAGACCTGGAGAATATCAAACAGTTGAGCATTCCTCGTCGGATAATGCCTACGGATGCCACTTCCATTTCCTTACACGGCTTTTGTGATGCTTCGGAGGCTGGTTATGCAGCTGTTGTATACCTTAGGACTGAATCCTCTTCTGGCCATCGCTCCGTCCATCTCCTCATTTCTAAGAGTAAGATTGCCCCTATCCGTACTCGGCTCACAATTCCCAAGTTGGAATTGCCAGGAGCTGTGCTCCTCACAAAATTAAGTCAACACGTTACCATCTGTCTACAGAAGGTAATCGTGTTGGATGCTATTCACAGTTGGACGGATAGCAAAATTGTGCTGGCATGGATAAAGACTCCTCCTCACCTGCTTCAAACATTCGAAGCAAACCGCGTGTCTCAAATCACCTCATCCGATTTCCTTTCCAAGTGGCATCATGTTCCTGGTTCTATTAACCCTAGCGATTGCGCTTCCCGAGGTCTTAGCGCATCGTCTCTTCTTAACCATGAACTATGGTGGTCTCCTTCCTGGTTGACAGAATCCCCTAATCATTGGCCTATTGGTGCAGACTTAACAAACAATCCTATTGATTCTTTACCTGGCCTTCGCTGTTTGTTAATTGAAATAACTACGCTAGCTATGGATCTCTCATTTCTCTTCGACCGGTATACATAGTTCCTTAAATAAACTAGTCGGAGTGTTAGGCTTTATTCTGCGTTTTATTTATAATGTTAAAAATGTTAATTTACATGTTATTAATCCTTACCTTTCTGTTGACGAACGACGTAATTCTTTGTTGATGCTTATTAAAGCAACCCAGTTACATGCATTTTCTAATGAGATAGAATCCTTAAAATGCGGTAATGTTATTAAATCCCCTTTAAAACGGCTGTCGTGTTTCCTAGATGAAAACGGTTTAGTCAGAGTTGGCGGACGTATACGTAATTCTGAACTCCCATACGATGCTCGTCATCCATTACTTTTACCTAAGTCTGACCCCCTTGTTAAATTAATAATTTCCCATTATCATATCGAAAATTCTCATGCTGGTCCTTATGCCTTACATGCTATCCTTTCCCGTGAATACTGGATATTATCGGCCCGACGTGCTATTCAAAATATAATATTTCATTGTCTCTCTTGTTACCGCCTTAAAGCATCCGTATCTCAACCCCCTCTGGGTGATCTACCCAGGGACCGGGTTACTTCGGCTAGACCATTTTCTCGTGTTGGCACTGACTTTGCGGGCCCTTTCTATACTAAAGTACAATCTTATCGAAATAAGAAATTAGTAAAGAGTTATCTGTGTGTATTTGTTTGCCTGTCAACTAAAGCGGTACATTTAGAAGTAGTATCCGACCTTACGACTGAATCGTTCCTATCTACCTTTACCCGATTTGTTGCGCGTCGCGGATTACCTACCCTTATACGTTCGGATTGTGGACGAAATTATTTAGGAGCGAGTAACTATATTAGAGAGCTTGATTCATTCCTGTCCCAAAAGCATGATGATCTTGCTTCACAACTAGCCCGCAAGAATATAAATTGGGTATTTGACCCACCGGCCTGTCCTTACTGGGGAGGATTGTTTGAAGCAGCCGTTAAGTCTGCCAAGACGCACCTTAAACGAGTAATCGGTGAAAATCCCCTTACCTTTGAGGAATTGACCACTGTATTTGCAAAAATTGAGTCTGTACTTAACTCTCGGCCTTTGTGTTCCTTTTCTCAAGATCCCAATGATCTTGAAGTGTTAACCCCTGGTCACTTTCTCATTGGTCAACCCCTTACTGCGTTACCCGAGTACCCATTGAGAGACGAGAAGCAGCATTGCATTTCACGCTTTCACTTATTGCAACAAATTACTCAACATTTTTGGTCGCGGTGGCATTCAGAGTACCTTTTTTTTTTTTACTTGGAGAAAATCCCTCATGGAGACCCGCCGGCCCCGGGGGAAGCCCGCGGGTACTGTGAGACTCCTACTCACTAAAAACTCCAAGATGTCCCTCACCCAACGCCTAAGCCGGAGTCGCGGGATCGATGACATTCTACCGCAACTCCGGCGGCGGTGGCCCACTCTAGCAGCGGGCCCCATCTCTGCGGGTTCCATAGCGGAACCCACTACTTCCCCTCCTCTTCCCTGGGGAAGGCGCGCGGGGACATGCGCGCGACTTCTTCGGGCCTAGTGTGGTGGGGTGGGACCGCCCCCGCGGTCGTCACCCCGGCCCGGTAGCGATCGAGGAGCGGCTAGTTACCGCCCCTACCTCCCTGATCGCCAGGAGGGGGACTGGGCTCGTGGCCCGTCTCCATCCCCTCCTCCTGAACGCTCCTTCGGCCTGGGGCCTGAGTGGCTGGCCGTTTCGCCTTCTTGTTTTTGGGCGGGGTGCATGATTTCGCACCCACCCAATGGTTCGCCGGACGACCCAGCGCGGCACAGACGATGCACCGCGGATCAGCTGTGCAGGTTGCCGCACGGTGACCTTCTTCCCCGCAACGGTAGCAAAGACCGCTGCGATCCTGGGTATGTGAGCACTGATTGCTCACATGTCCTCCTTCCAGGCATCGGAAGCATCGCAGCGGCCTTTGCCGCAGGAGCTCCGTCCGTGCTGACACCCACCCGATGCGAATGTGCTTCGCGGTGGTCGCCTTCTTAATGGCCGGTACGGGGCCGCGAACCCAGCAGGTCCCCATCCCGAAGGAGTTGCGGCGGATGTCACCCACTCTCACCGCTTCCGGCTGGCAATCCCCAGCTTGGGCAACTGCCGCCGCCACCTCCTCTGTCGTAGCAGAGTCGTCCAGGCCCAACACGCGCATTTACGCAGTTTTTACGGGCCTGGCCACCGTTG